CGCTGGCTCCAGCACGCTGAACTATTCAAATCCACGGAAATGTCAAAGAGTATTCTCAAATACGATCAGGTGCGTTGTTACGATTTTTGTGTTCAACAAGGAGTTTGTGTTGACTAGTGTACGAATGCAGATGCATGTGAACGATGAAACCAATGCCTTGCTCAAGCAAATGGGGGCTCCGACGTGCGATTGGGATGGGATAGCAATCATGGAAGGCGAATCGTTCGAGAAAGTCTCGAGTGTACGTCCATCTTTCTGGACAATAGACACCAATGGCTGTTCTTATCATCTCTACTGAGAATCTAGATCACGACGAGCGAAGAGTACGAGCGAGTTCTCGTACCCGATGAGCTGGGGTTCCTTGACCGCGAGAAGACCCAGGTGGTACCATTGAATTTTGGCGTGTTCATAGATAGACCTGAACAGTAGAAATTGGTATAAGCAGACACGGTGGCTCGGACCTAGAATGGCGTGGTACTTGATCCAGTGACATCCGACACTGGGCAGTTTAGTTCACTGATAAGTAATGCCAAAGCAGACATGATGGTCTCGTACCGTATTATGAGTCTGTTGTTCTTCTGCTGCAAGTTAGGGTCATGTAAGCCGCGCTGAGGGATGAACTTGAATGTATCAGAAGAACTTCATCATCGGAGCTGATTAAACGCCTTCTAATGATGATATTAGCACTCAAGAACTTTGCATTGTATGCCCCATGGCTGAGTTGGTTACAGCGTCCGACTGTTAAGAGTCAATCGGAAGGTCGAGAGTTCGAGCCTCTCTGGGGCAGGTGTCATACCCGGACTCATTTTTTAATTTTGTTTCAGTTTAGCTTGTTTATCAGGAATGCACATTGAGGCTTGAGCACTTGAGTGTACGCTATTCATCAACTATATCTCAGACCGTGATTTTTGTAGAATTCCGGAGACCGACCCCTCCCAGAAGGGGGTGTTTTCATCCGGTATTTTACCTTTCTTTACTGTGCGCGTAAAGTGGCATACACGTGCCTGGAAGCTAGTAGAGAAACACCCTCGGGATTCAACGTCATGTATTCGTCTGAGTCCCAGAAACTCCGAGATGAATATATAACCATCCTCGCATGAATACCCCTTTCACCGCACGGTTCTACCTGAATCGGCTCGGGCTGGCAGTGATCTCTACGGCTTCGGCACGATCCCGCGGCGACATGAACGACTTTTCTTCATGCGGATCGTAGAGTCTGGTTTACGAGACTACGCTTCTTATCTTGACATCTCAGCAACTTCACAGTCCAGCGACACCACACACACTCTTCGGCCAGTGATGATGCGACCTCGCAATAGCAGTGAGATGTCCAGTAGGACAACAGTTTTCATATCGCGTTTGTGTTGGAATCGTGGGGTTATGATTCTCAAGCCAAGTGAGTTAATGCGTGAGTGTGGTGCTTCGCGCGTCCTTGACCCAGCATGCTGACGTCTTGCAGAAATCTTCACCACTGTGATACGGCCAACTGCAGGGGCCTCTGGCAGCAATAGACCCATGGATCCCACATTCGTCCAGGATGCGGCGATACGTTTTCCAATATCGCGACGTTCGGGACGGACTAGCGGTATCTCGTCCAGATGACGATGATACTACGCATTCAGTCAGACATACAAGTTCGAGTGAGGTGCATCATTCCTTGTATCAGTGAGGTCGTTCTCATCTAAGTGGAAGTACGACCGATATTGTTGAACAACTACTCTGCTGGAACATCTGGCCATGGCTTCGCCGAAGACGCAAGTAGCAATGCTATCCTGTCGTCATCCCGCGATTCCACCTTTCAATAGACTATCTGTGTAAGTACTAGTACTCCCAAACTGTTCCGTGACCCGCAATCAAACGAATGAATTCAAAAGGCCTCAAAATATCGATTCTGGAGGTCGCTACCGCCTCCGATTTTGCCGAGGAAGGCATTGCAGGACGTATGACTGTCATTGTTACACTGCAAGGGGACCTTGGTAAAATGGTATTGCTTTGTGATCATCCTCACATTCTGTCGGTGCAATTTCCTTGTTCCCATGGAATAGACTTCTCATGATATCCCCACCGAACAGGGCTCGTTACCCTCGTGATATGCCCTGTTATGATTATGGCCGTACACAGGGCTCGGCGTCCAGCCCTTGCAGAGAAACGAGACAGTCGTTGTTCCTGTGGCCACCGTGCTTGCCTTTACCCAGCTACGCTCAACCATGCCCGGAGCCCCATATGGATTTGGTACGTGACTCCAAGTCATTAAATCGATTCTCGACGCTGATACCATAATTCAGGTGACATCTTGACCCCAGACACAGATTTCACGGGCGTGCTACTTTGCCTCGTCCCTCCTGTCCATCTCTGTGAGTACCTAAGAGTTTTGAAAACACTCGAGAGCTTGAGATGGTGCGAAATCTCCAACTGCATAGGCGGTTACTATGGTCGAGACCTATATTTTCACAGATCCCGCGAAGGATTCTCGTGAAAAAGTTAACTTGGGCTGCTTGAGTAGGCTGGTTCTACCAAAAGTGCTGTCAGCATTTACAAAGCTATTGTTAAATAACGAAGCACATCATCGTTCTACAAGTTTGCTTTATCCGTGAATGGTTGTTTGTCAATACGAGAGTGACTACTGCCATGCTGTTTTTGTTAAACTTTGATTTTGGCTGCTAGTTTATTCAATTCCGGTGCGATACGACGATACAAACTTGGATATCAATATCCAAGCTCACATTGTCACCGAATTTAATATCCTTCATGGCTACAAGCACAGAATGCATTTCTAATCAAGACATATATATTCAATGGATCTCCCTAGCTACTCTGTAGGTACATAAACATAGGACGTCCGGGAGGACGTGTAAGTATTAGATAGATATAAAGCTACAGTTGTGTGAGGCGGTGAGAGGTAGGGCAGCGTAATAAGAATACAGGTATGTTGAAAGAGCGGGTATGCATACGGTCGGTGGATGCATATGAGTAATACAACGACCAGCGCTAGAGAGGGAACGGTAAGCAACTGAAGTGAGCCCAAAGCAGGGTGAAAGAACGTACCAGGATATCTATGACCTATGGAAGAATCCCCTTATGCTCATCTTTGACTTTTTCGGGGTGTGGGCGTGGGCGTGGGTGGATGGGATGGGACGAGCTGATACGGGAATGGGAGGGAGCGGTGCAGTCGGGGGCATGAACGACTGCTCGAGGAACTCCTTCCTGGCAAGGTTGAGCGGTGTGGGACGCTTCTTCTTGCCGTCGGGAGTGAGGATGGGCTGGAGAGTCATCGGTGCGAGTTTGACTTTCTGTAATGCGATAATCAGTATGCATACAACCGTGTAGAAAAGGAAAGAGACGAACCTGAGCGTCAAGAGACTCTGCTCGGAACTTGACCCACTGTGAGGGCGCCTCTTCGCCTTCAGAGTCAGACGAGTCAGAGGCATCGGGATCGTCCTTCTGCAGGAGCCATTGGTACTCGATCTGCTCGTCGCGGTCCCACCAGACGCGGCCGGTGCCGTCGCGGTAGACATCGGCGCGGGTGCCGACGGGGAGGTTGCCCTGCTGCTTGGTCTGGGCGTCCATGACGCGGGTGATGTGCGTGCTCATCTTCCCGCCACCCGTGAACTGCATGAGCATGAGCTCGTTCATGAGGGTCGGGGGCAGCTGCTGCGCGTGCTTCTTCGACTTTGCGGGGACAGACATCGATGTGGAGCGTGTGCGAGACCGAGAGAGGAGCGAGAAGGGGTTTTTCTTCGCTTGGTGGGAGGAGGCATCCTCGAGTTCGTCTTTATGGGAGGAGGGGCAATTGTGATTATCGGGCTTATTGTCTTTCTTATTGTTGCGGGTGTGATTAGGCTTATTGTTAAGATATGACGGCGTGGACGGCGTCTTGGGCAGGTGCACGAACACAGATGTGTAACCGAGATTTGTCAGGTCGAATTTGGCGTAGTGGGCTGACGTTGGCGTGTACACCGATTTGGACGTTGCGGGCGTGTCCGGGAAGGCACCGGCGTTGGCGCTCCGCGGCGAGAGGGGCGCTGGCGAGCCGGGGTGGACCGCCGAGGCCCAGGTGGTGATGCTGGCGCTGAACGAAGAAACTGTCGAGGATCGTGGGCGGGACATGATGGTCGTGGGGTATGTAGAATAAGTAAGTGTGGGTATGCTGGGTATGTCTAGGTCTGCTCGTCGTCGTCAGTATCGTCGCCAAGCCTAAAAGGGCGCTGCTCACCGTTAAGAGTGCTGGAAGGAGACTAGCTCGCTGTGGTCGTCCTCGTCGTGCCCGGCCAGTCTTATACTTTACCCAAACAAAAACCCCGCGCACAATAACCACGCTCCAGACAAACAGCCAAACAACGCCTCCTCAACACCTGCCATTCTCGGATCGTCGCGACAACGCGCTTCTGGAAAAAACAAAGACAATAAATCGCTGGAACAATAGCTCCGCCGCTTTCCTCCCGCCTGCTCATTGTTTTATCGCTCCTCCCTTCTTCCTGTCCTGACAGCTTTTTCCCGACCATCGCGTTGGAGCATACGGTTTCCTGGCGTGTTAATTGTCGCCGTGCTGATGGTTGTGCGACTGCGTTCGAAGATTGGTACACCTAAAGGACAGCTCTATTATCCTGAGCTGGCGCATGTCGCGTCATGGCGAGCCCTCGTCGCGGCCCGTTGATCTCTTGCGCTTTGACTCCGCACTTCCCCGCAATTGTTTCAGTTTGCTTCCGTGGGAGCAAATTTCGCGCTTTGCGAGGAAGTCATTGTAGACGGGCATCGTTGCCCTGTGGTCTTCGAGATATTCTGATGCTGCATAGGCCTAACCCAGCTGCTTTCTCCCCGGGCTACGATGGTCCTTGCATTTTACTTCCGCGGATGTATATGGGCCAGCAATCGGGATTTTCTGGTCCAAATTCGATTCAATCATATAGCTTGTAACAACTCCTTGGCACCTCTTCGGAGCTGTATAGCGGTTTCTATTCTCGGTGGAGACATACCATCCACGGGGCACAGCCAGGATGTCGTGCCCCATGGCTGAGTTGGTTACAGCGTCCGACTGTTATGTGACAGCAAATGATAAAACTTTACTCCATCGGAAGGTCGAGAGTTCGAGCCTCTCTGGGGCAGCATCGGGATATTATGTTGGAATTTTTATTGTAAAAGGATACGAATATGCTGGGAAGTTTTTGTAATGCCGCGTGTCAGGCGTGTGATGATGCACCACAATCACCGTTACTTACTCTAACGTCGTGTATCGAAACATCCCCAGAGGTTTCGTGCTCATGAGTCATGACTTGCCTAGGATTATTACGTCTCAGGCTCCTAGGTTAAGTTTTGTACGATTCAATGAAGTTGAAACAACAACATACTTTGCTTCATACGTATATATACTAGACATTGACTGTGTTACGCATAGTTATGGCCGTGGCCTTGTTTAAAACCTGTGGACGTCGTCTACTCGTGCCCAGTGATGATCGCTGTTGTAAAATAGGTTTATGCCAGTGACCAAGTAACTCAGGTCTGCCTCACTTAGAGCTGCACATACTGTTGGAGAGCCGATGTATCACTCTGAGTCTAAGATTCGATCTATCCACTCAAATGCACTGTAGATAAACCCGCGTGCCAATTCCTTTTTGAACTGTTGTTCACTAACACAAGAGAGGAGTATTTGTTGAACTTCACGACACCATTGTTAAATCAATGTCCATCCATAGTATAGAACTTCAGACAGCGAGCTGTGATAGATGAGTCGGTTTTTCAATCTATGTCGTGTTGAGGGTAGATCAGACGAAAAGGACCGTACTATACCGAGTACATCTGGTGTCGATGAATGACTCGGGCGGAACCATACAAGCGAGTCTTTGTTTCAATGTCAGTCGTAGTGCAGTAGAGACAATCCCGGGCCTGATGAACAAAAGCACTTGTGGGATCGTACTAAAGCCTGTAGGGATGCCCACCGTACCGGTATACGGGTACGGCTGTAAAGTTTACGGGAACTTTACGGTATGGGTGACCCGTAACCGTACTGTAGTGGTCTTGCCAGGACTCGACGGTATAGTACGGTCGTAAAATGGTAATGCAGGTGTTATGGGCAACTATTTACACTAGTCTGGTATGATTACCGTACTATGTGAACTATAATCAGTGCAAACGCCTCCCGAAACAGATCGTTCATGTTAATCACCTTTCAGAACAACATTTGATATTAAGATACTCCGAATATGTACCAGATGGATGTGCATGTTCAAAATTACTACAGCAGAACTTTCTGCAAGTAGTATCGTTTCCGATGATCAAATGGCATTATACAGCGTAAGGTAGCTCACCAGAGATGAAGGCGGGTGTGTGGTGCAACACCTAGGTGGAACTGAGATGGATGAAGTTCACCCGAAACCAAGGCAGGAGCTGAGGAAAGTTGATCTTGAAGTACAAGCCTTGGAGAATTTATCGGGGGGCATCGGGCACCAGGACAAGTCGAAATCGCATTATTCATTATAAATATTGGGGACCAGGCTTCGGAGAAGTCATTGGAAAACTGCAAACGAAGCAAACGACATCGACGTGAACATGGCGGTAGGTCAGTACCTTAAGTGAGCCGTGGGAAATTTAATACCAGTTCCTGTTCAGGCTTGCCCCTAACCCTACGCACGTACGATTTCGCGTTTCAGTGACAAACAACTTGTTTCGTTCCTGCACCACAACGACGCACGACTGCAAAAGAGGATGCTCCCTGTCGTCATGACTCTTGGCTTCTATTCTCGTAATTGACACGACGATTGAACCCTACTCACGTACCAGGTTCTTCACGTTTCAGCTTGTTCCAGCACCACAACGATGCACGAGTGCAAAAGAGGAGGCTCCCAGCCGTCATGAATCTTGGTTTTTTTTCTTGTAACCGTCCCGATGACTATGCATGCCGAAGAGACTAGTATCAGGTCCGTCACTAGAAGAGGAATTAACTCTTGTTGTCGGCAGTTCGAAACCAGTACTGGTTGTCATTGATGGGATTGACGGGCCACAGGTGCAGGAGAGAATGTCGGGGTTCTTTGTGACCAGATTGATGTCCATTTAATACTTCTCTGCCAACGTCGAGCTTCATCTATGAACTTGTTCAATTGACTTTTGATAAACCACGGAAAAAAGGTGGGAGGCCACTTGTCACAGTTGCTTTAGCTGACCTTCTACATAGCTAGCACGCGCAAGACCACAGCGAGATTCGAATGCCGAATATTTAACCTATATCGCGTCCAATCAGATGTATCTACTATGACGTCGATCGATCCTCGCTTGCAAAATTGCGGCCGCATGCCTATCGGAGACTGCAATATGGTATGTCTTTGGCCGCGTAGTTTGGCGGCAGAAAGACCCTCGCAAAGACGGTATGTATTTCTTTCTGGCTGTGTCTTTATGTTTGTGTCCATCTTTGCACCGTGAACACCTATGGAATCGCCCAGCCATGTTCGTTGGCGAGGTTGCGTATCTCCATAGGTAAATTTGGTGTAAATTTGTACGTAAACATAAGTACAAAGGGAGAATAGAAGACATGCGGTGTTATGATAGGGATTTTGATGCCAAATACTCCTAGTCAAGTAAGGTAGAAAGTCCTAGCAGTCTTTGTGATGGTATGGTATGCAGGCTTTCTACACGACGGAAGACATCGAGGTATTTTCACCCCTCGAGAAAGGGACGGAATTGGTGGCCACTGCACCATTGTCGTATGATACCGAAGGATCGGTTATTCGGTCCATGCAATTGCCGCTATCACCCTAGGTGGGACATCGCGTACACCCCGGCGATGCCAACAGGCGCTGTCCATAAACAGCACCGTTCCCTTACCTCAAGGCCGTACATCGTGCAAATTCGCCGTTTTTCAATATGAATACGCTGTAAAATCACGGTGTTTCGAGGCGCCTATTCGAAGCTTGACAAGGTTTGGTTACAGCACGGCACGCCGGCTCTAGTCAAGGATAAGGGTGTTGTCTCTCCCACGTATGTCGTCAACTCGTCTTTACCTGCGACCATCATGTCCAACGGCGGTGTTCGCGGTGCAAAGCTCAGTAAACTCTTCAGTAGCACCCTGGAAGGCAGGGAATTAACCAAGGCATCAGAAGGCTCTCAATTTCTGGAGGCTCTGTGCTTTCAACCCGACCCGTCTGCTTGCATCGACAGAATCATTGCCAGCAAGGCTGGTCTCCGACCTTTACAGGCCGCTTTTAGGTTCGACACTTCTCAAGCATTCTTAAATGGTCCTGCCACAGACACTCTGCTGTATTTGCAAGCGCCCGAGATCGAAAGGATTAGCAGCGGTCAGTACCTCACAAAGGCGTTGCAGGCTATTGTCGAGCCTCCGATCTTCTGGACTCCATTCGTGGAGGCATTCAAAGCGAAGCAGCTATCCGAAGAGGGGCAGAAGTGCTTTGCGTGGGTTTTATTACAACTTATTCTCATCCCAAGCGACACCATCTCGCCTTACGTATGCCTCGCCGAAGATCTATTACCTACCATCCTCAAATCCTCCCATCCAGACATACGCACCATCGCACAAAAAGTCAAAAAGGCCATTTCCGTTGCGTCTACCTCTCTCGTCCCTATCACTAAGGATGATATTGGTCCTGGCGGCAGACATGATAACGATTTCCCAGACTTTCGCGAGATCGCAATCCTTCCTACTGCGGACGAGCTCGCTTCTACTGAGGCACCCTTCCTTCGTCCGAGCTCAGATCTCGACGATCCTTGTACGGAGGAACATCGCGAAGCTTTGCATCTCGACAATCAGTTCAGGCTGATGAGGGAAGACATGATTTACGAGATGCGAGAGGAGCTTCAAATCTCGTTAGGAAAGCAGAAAGGAAAGAAACGTCGCGGTATCGTTGTGGATGGCATGAAAATGCTAGATATCAGTTTGGGCGACGAAGATCGTCGGAACAAGTGGGCAGTCGTCTTCCAGTGCTCGACCGATCTTCCGCAGCTTCAAAAGATCGATGGCCTTGCAAAGCGAAAGGCATCACTTCGGAAGGAAAATGCCAAGCTGTTGAAGAATCAATCGTTGGCTTGTCTTCTCGTTGACGAGACAGTGTTGGCATTTCCGTCGGTGCGTCGAGACGAAGATCTGTTGGCGAAGAATCCTCCAGAGATTGTTCTGGAGTTCGAGGGAGAGATGTCAACCCAGAATTTCTTGCTGAAGATAAAGTCGGCGAAGGAGGTCAAGCTCATTCAGATAGATGTTGCCCTTTTCTCCTATGAGCCGATTTTGACGACTCTGAAACGGATGAAGATACTTCCTCTCGCGCAGGAGTTACTGTTATGGAAAGACGGGAGCGAGTTGTCTCAACCATCGCAACCCTTTGCCCTACAGTCAGCCATACAGTCATTCGAGCGTAACCCCGGCCAAGATCTTCAAGCTGTACTGTCTTTGGACAAAAGCGTTATACTGGATAGAGCCCAGGCAACGTCTTTGTTGTCGGGGTTGAAACAGAATGTATCGCTTATCCAGGGTCCTCCAGGTATGTTAGTGTTCTTCACGAAGCAATACAGATCCATTAACACGAACCAACTGGCAGGTACGGGCAAGTCGTTCATAGGTGCCCTCTTGGCCAAATTTATCCACGAGTTCTCGGATCAGAAGATCCTTGTGGTCTGCTATACCAACCATGCCCTAGATCAATTCTTAGAGGATCTTCTTGACATCGGCCTTCCTATCGAAGATATGGTTCGTTTAGGTGCCAAGTCTACTACTCGAACAGGACCCATGGCTCTTCACAATCAGGCACGCACCCATCGTTTTCGCCGCGGTGACTATACCATCATAGACGAACTCAAGACTGATATAGAGATCCGAGCGGCCAGCTTGACGATGTCTTTCAAGAAGTATCTCCAGTCTACCATTCGAAACGATGATCTATTGGCCCACTTGGAGTTTGACGAACCGGACTTCTATGATGCTTTCGAAGTTCCCGTCTCTGAGGATGGTATGGACATAGTAGGTGAAGGAGGACGGACTGTGGACGAGTTTTACTTGCTGCAAAGATGGAGGCACGGCCAAAATGCGGGGGTCTTTATGCATAGCGAGAATGTGGAAGCTGCGGGAAATATCTGGAACATGTCGTCACAGGTCCGGCAGAATTATC